CATGGTGCATGGGTACTAATAAGCCTAGAGGCATACTGGGATAGATTATCACCTGTCAAACAAGATCTGCGTTTTGACAAGAAATGGGTTGCTGAAACTCAACATTAGACATTACAGTAAAATCAAGCACTGTTCTGTTTTTCATATATACTTTGTATAACCATGTTTAAAAAAAAAAATAAATAATAATTATTGAAACATAGAATGCTATGAATGTACAACCCTGAACATTTTGCTCAGTTTCATAAGGTGTGTTCTGTTCTTTTTTCTATAGGAGTGGCTTTTAAATCGAGGAAAATGGAAATGAAACTATGAAGGATAACAATGAAGAGTGACGAAAACCTTAGATAATTATTTATTTCTTTACTTAAATGTCCTTCTCCCAACAAATTATCCCAACAAAAAAAACAGTGTGTGGTCCCAATTCTTTGATATTTTGGTATTTTATCTAAAATCATTTCTGTATTTTCTGTGTATCGGAGCTGTTCAGTTCAGCTTTCAACACCATCATCCCAAAGCATCTGATGGGAAAACAGGAACATCTGGGCTTCAGTACACCCATTTGCAATTGGCTGCTAGACTTCCTCACCAACGGTCAGTCCGGGTCAGACAAAACACCTCTGATGTCATTATCCTAAGCACAGGCTCCCCTCAGGGCTGCGTCCTGAGCCCCCTGCTGTTCATTCTGATGACACAAGACTGCGTCCCCAGGTTCACCACCAATCACACAATGAGGTTTGCAGGTGAGGAGACCCCGGTGGGCCTCATCTGGGACAACAATGACCAGGACTACAGAGAGGAGGTGGAGCAGCTGGTGTGCTGGTGCAGAGAAAACAGCCTGATCCTGAATGTGGAGAAGACAAAGGAGATCATCATCATCTTCAGGAAGAGCCGGCCTAACCACGCTCTACTGCTAATCAACAGCTCAGCCGTAGAGGTGGTCAGCAGCACCAAATATCCAGCAATTCACTTTAATACAAAATAACAAACTTTGCTGTATAAAATAAGCCTGTCCAACTTAACGTCAAACTATAAAAATGAATATAAAACAATAAATAAACAGTGCATATTTTTGTTGCAAAAGCCAACTTGTGCAAGCTTATAAACATATTTGTGCCTTAAATGCAATAACTGTAGGCTACAGTTGTAAAACAGAAAGAAAAAAGTATTAGCTCAATGTCACATTATGTGGCGATAGCCTCGTTTTTCCACTTGCATTTCCTCTGAGCTCTTACAGCAGTGAGGAGTTGTTTGTCTTTGAGTGCTGTGGAGTAAAACTCTGAGCAAGACAGTTCTTAATTAGGGCTGACAATGAGCTCAGCTTTAATTAATTCAGTGGAACATTTGTACCGCACATCAGTCCATTTGTTCTTCATTAAGGAGAAAATCCTCTCCACAAAACCAGTGAAAGATGGCATGCTGAGGACAAAGCACACAGCAGCTTAGATGTTGGGAACATCAGCTTCTTGAAGAACCTCCATGGTGAAACCTCTCTGCTGTTCCTTTGGACTGCCAGGATTCCTTTTCCTGCAGCGTCAGCATTTAAATTACTCCCTTTGTCCTCCATACTCCTCTGTTGTCTCCCGCTATCTTCTCCGTGAGCAACACTTGGCTCGACCAATGGGATGAGGGTATTCTGGATCGTTACATATATGTTGTCATCTCATTGGTCACAATTGCAGGGCCAAGGAAAAGTTTACCTACGTTTTAGCTTTTTACTGATCACTTTTTTTACTCTCACAGTAATATTGGACAAAGTGCGTTCCTTTTCCAGTAAATACAGGGCAGGTACTTCCATTTCTATATAGAGAACGATTCAGTTTTTCAAGGGATGGTTGGCAACCCTTGCTTCAATATTGTGCATAAATCAAAAATTTCTGCGAGAAGCTCACTTAGAGCCCTTTAGACAGTGGATCCCAGGATTTGCAGTCGCTTTCAGTGGTTCTTCCATCTGGTATCCCTCTTTGTGGGATGCATCAACCAAACAACAGAGGTAGGGTGAGGTCTAGGGGAATGGATGGTGAATGGTTTAAGAGTCCTTCTAAGGACTAAATTGTGGGACGCTTTTCAAAAGGCTGCCTAGAAGAAAAGCGACAACCTCTGCATGGCTTTTTAAAAAGCCATCCATAAACTTCTGAAGGGTTTTCTTTACTTCACCCATTGTCCACATTAGAGGTAACAGCTAAAGTTGAACTCTTCCTGATCATTAAGTGGCGTACTTGCCTGATCTTGTTCTTTAATGTTTACCAGCCAATGGCCAGGTGGGCTAGCCCCAATGTTAGCCTTGAGTTAGCATTGAGGCTGAGGCACTTATAGTGTCTATCTGGGACCGGGTCATGGGGGCAGCAGGCTGAGCAGAGACGTACATACTTCTCTCTCGCCAGACACCACCCCCAGTGGGATTGGAGGGAAGTTGAGGGGCTCCCAGTCCGGCCGAAACAAAGTCACTCTAGAGTGTCCTAGGCCATCACCTGGGAGCATATAAGCAGATGTCTGAGCCTTCCTGAGCTGTGGTGGAGAAGCGGCGCTCCTCAAAGCCTCCGCCAGATGACTGAGCTCCTCACCCTATTTATACAGGAGTGTCATATTACCCTGCGGAGAAAGCTTATTTCAGCTGCTTGTTTCCAAGATTTAATGTTTTGGTCATGGTCCAGATTTCATGACCATCAGGGTAGAAAGGTCTCTTTGGGCTCAGCTGTTGTCACAAAAATAGTTGCATGCAGTATCCACATTATGATGACAGCCGCATCAATTCCTCTATCCATCTCCCGCTCCATTCTCCCTTGATGTTTAAACTGGAACTCTCCTCTTATCTGAAGCCACCTCTTTTAAGTCCAGAACCACGACCTCAGACTTGGAGGAACCAATCCTCTTCCTGGCTGCTTTGCACCTAGCTGTTAATGACCCATCACATGCTGTAGATTGTGGCAGGAGGTATACTTTAATAAACCTTACTCTGTTGGGGAAAGCACTTTCTGCTTGGAGCAAGGGAGTAAAACTCATTTTTACACCTGGCCACTTTGGCATCATAAAGGCTTTAAAAGGATGAATCTTTGTATTTCCTTACTACTCTCATTTATTCTATAGTTTAAGTCATTTTGTACACTTTTAAAAGAACAGATGCTTCTAGTTTATAACATGTTCCTTTTTGGCTATCGAGAACCAAGTGCATAAGACTAATTTACACTACCCTCTAAAAACCAATTTGTGCCGAGCTCGGTTCTTTGCGACCATTTGCACACCATGCTAGCACTGTTCCTCGCCTCCTAGTGATGATCTACGGTACTACTGCTCTCTAGAGCTAAACAAGAAAATCAACATGGCACAGCTGTAACATTCAGGAAGTTTGGTTATAATTGTGATATTAAAAAAAAAAAAAAGACAGACGTTGAGGTTCAATGCACTGCTACTCAGAATCATCAATTAAAATCGTGTGACACGGTAGGGAAGCTAGCCTTTTTATTAATGTCTGAAATTTCATGATTAGAGAGGCTGACTGTAAGGAGTCGACGCAGTCTGCTCATGCGTTACTTGTTATCTGAGAACTGAGCCAGAACTAACACCAGTGGTGTCAAAAGTACACACAGTTGTTACTTAAGTAGAAATATAGCTAGTGTAGTTTAAAAACACTCTGGTAAAGTTAAAGTATCTACTTGACCTCTTTACTCAGGTAAAAGTGAAAAAGTATGTGCCCTAAAAACTCAGAAAGTTCTTTTAGATAGGGCCAAAGATAAGGGAGGTGTTGTTGGTCTCCGTCTCCTGATACGCTCTCGCCTGTGTCCGACATTTCAGACATTTCAACATCTTTTTCTGAATCCAACATTGTAGCATGGCATAGACAATTCACGTTTGCAGTTTGAAGAACACCTGCTTACTTCTGATTATTTCCTTTGGCGTCAGGACAAATGTGACGAATAGCTAACCAATGAGTGTTTGCATTTTAAGAGTCATCCAATTACACTAGTTTTCACTAGATGTGGATGGCGCGAATGAGCTGCATCGGATGGCGTACATGATGTGACATAAATATTTATAAACATTAAACCGAAGCCAAGAGTAACGAGTAATGTTTGTTTTAAGAACATGAGGAATAGAAAGTACAGAGACTTATGTAAAAATGTAATGAGTAGAAGTAAGAAGTAGGAAGAAAAATAAGTAATAGAGTAAAGTATAGATAACTAAAAAGTGTACTTAAGTACAGTAATGAAGTATTTGTACTTTGTTACTTGACACCTCTGACCTACTGATTAACTAGTACCAGTTTTAGGCAGGGTTCGGTTGTGTCTGGCATAGTCCAGTTCAGTTTTGCATGCCATTTAACCTTAAATGTTATCTCAATTATTGTGCTCGGACAGATCCCGTCACGGTTTCAAAAGGGTGGTGTAAATGGGTCCCAATTCTGCAAGCAGACCTTGAGTCTTATATCTTATAGGGTGATTGCCATTAGATGCAGTCACATCTTGATATCTCTTTGTCTACAATGATAAAAAGCTTAATTTATGTAGTAAGGTGAAGCTTCCCGACACCATCCAACCTTCACAAGGTATAACAAAGAAACAAAATTCTCCACAGTTTTTATAGTAGGCTAAACAGATTGTGGATTAACCATATACCAAGGCTGTCAGAAACAAAAAAAAAAAGGCTTTTCAGCTGTTATCTTTTTTATGAATATATATTGACAAAGAACAAATAAACCAAACAGAAATGCCCTTTCTTTTTTGTGTGCTCAGTTGATCTTTCTCATAATCCTAGCTGAACGTGAAGCCAACTAAACAGCAAACCTTGCAGATGCAGAGATAAGTTGCCTTCAGGAACATGGGCTTAGATCTGGATGCCTGCCAACCCCCGCCCTGAGAAATCAGCATCGCAGCGCTCAAGAGTTGACAAGTGCGCCTCCCCCCTCTCCAAACGTTGTTTGACAAGCCCATCTTTATAGACTTCGCCTGAGGCAGTTTCTTTTTTGAAAAAAAAAGAAAAAAAGGCAAGCTCAAAGCCACAGATTACACATTCTGCTCTCAGTCCGTGTGCGGGTGAAACAACCTGCAGATACAGCAGCAGCGCAGGGAGTCGGTGCGCTTCTCAGGTTTTGGAGACAAACGACGCTGAGCATCACTCCAGGAGCACATATCTCATATCTGGATAGTTTTATTTACAATATATATATATTTTTTTCATTATTTTTATTATTGCATGATTGTTGGTTTTACGCATCGGGTGCACCTGTGGATTCACCGCTGATATTTGGACTGAAACCTGCAACAACAACAACTAAAAACCGATTTCTTTCAACTCTCATTTGATATTCCTTTACGCTCAAACGGCTCCAGTTGTTATTTATTTATTTTTTATTAGAGGAGTAGCGCACAATGCTGTTGGGAGTCTTCCTTCTGGCGGTCCCTTTACTGAGCATCCCCGGATGCGAGGCGTCTTTCGTGCCGTGTGAGCCGTGCGACCAGAAGGCCCTGTCCATGTGTCCCCCGGTGCCTATGGGCTGCCAGCTGGTGAAGGAGCCCGGCTGCGGCTGCTGCCTGACGTGCGCGCTGGAGGAGGGCCAGACCTGCGGGGTGTACACGGGGCCGTGCATGCGTGGCCTCCGCTGTCTGCCCAAGAGCGGGGAGGAGAAGCCGCTCCACGCGCTCCTGCACGGCCGGGGGGTGTGCGCCAACGAGAAGCTGCACAAGCTGCAGCATCCACCTAAAGGTATGCACCGATTTGTGCAATAAACAAACCATTACTAAAGAAAAAATGGCTATTGTGCATGTATTTTCCTTGCAAGAATTACAACAGGAAAAAAAAAAAAAACCCCCCCCAAAATGAGATCCTGATTGGAGATGAAGAGTTTAGAGCTGACCTGTCATTATGCATGTGACCTTATGAACTCTAGCAGATTAACTTGTCATTTCAGTTTGAAAGAGCCTTTTTAGGGCTCCCAACTGTAAATCAGAAGGTTTCCCCCCCAGCCTCAGGCAACCCAGATGACTTAAAACAAGGGAGCAGATTACAGGTGGTGGCTCCCTTTGAATAGAAGAGTCGTTGTGTCTGTTGGGGTAGAGGGGGGTGGGCGATGATGGCAGCTTTTCATCCTGTAAAGTCATATTTTTACGTGGCACTTTTCTTTCATCTGACCCCAACGTTTTTGTCCTGTCACCATCCCTCTTCTTTTCTTTCGTTTATCTGGCAGCAGTCCTGTTTACTCCTGTGTCCCGCTCTTATCATTGTTCTGCTTTATTTCGCATGTCAACCCTCTTGGTTCTGGCTGATGGATTTTAGCCCTTTATAAGCAATATACTGAATAGGGTTGTCACAATACTAAACTTTTCACCTCGATAACGATACTAAGGAAAATATTCGATACTCGATACCATTTTCGATACCACAAGGATAAAAACAAAGACTCCAAAATTCAACAGAAATTTTCATTAATAATAAAAATATAATAAATAAATACAATAAACAAAAAGAAGAATATTTTAAGGTTGTTTGCTGTGCACAATATTTAGCAAGCTTGGTAAAAAACGTTTTCCTTCCTTGGCTAGGCTTTGCACAGATAGCAATGACACTAGCCAAACCAGTTAAGAAACAAAAATAATTCTCAGCAGCTGTACCCGTTACAAAAAAATGTCTGAAACTGAAAAGTGCACAGAATTATTCAATCACACAGTGTTCAGGAAGTGCATTTTCCTTTATTCTGCACTTAAGATGAATGACTGTTTAGGTGCCACTGGTGGTAGCACTGTATCGATACTTTTAAAAATGAGTATTGTATCCGGATACAACTTTTCAGTATCAATACTTTTTTGAGTATCGATACTTTTGAAAACCCTAATACTGAAGCTGTATTAAATAGCTTTTTAAATAGCAAATGTTACTTTTTGCACCAACTATTTTGGTTTGAAGTGACTGTCTTGTATTCAATAGAGAATGCAAGGTAAAGGTTTCTGCTAAATGGAATTGATCATAGTTAATTGCCACAGCCAATAAAAAACCTCCACACTTTCAGAATAAATATAAATAATAGCAAGGATCTCAAAGTAATGTCATAATCAGAGTTTTATATGAATCCAAATATAATGAAATGTTAAAATGTACTTTATTTTGAAAAACCAACACCACAGGTTCCTGTCAGTGCTGTCAGCTGGTTAGCCTATGTAGCTAAACGGTAGCTACAGTGCAAAATTAGGCTACTGTCTTCAGTAGTGAAGGAAAAACTTGAGAAGAAAAGCCCAGTGTTAGCAAATTAGCAACTTTGTCGCTACATTTGGTTAGCCTGGGTGCCAGTCAGAACTTAGTCCCGCCCACAAGGTTTGAGTTCGGGGAAGTTCGGTCTGGCTCTGCTCCATAGTAGCGCGAGTATTATCGCCCACTGTCAGGCGATCCAATCAAATTGTCAGGGCGGACTTTATACGATGATGGACAGATGATCAAGAGTAACGTAATCAACCACGTGACCAAAGCGCGCTAGGGTGACAACAATAATGGCTGCCGCTGGAGAGTTTGGGTGAGTAGATTCTGCTATTAGGTCTGTTCTAGAAGATATCGACAGCAAATTAATTTTAAAAGAGGAACAGAGAAACGTGATCAAGTCTCATCTTCTTATTCTAGGCGTGAAACTGCACGCTTTGATTTTTGTGGACAACAACTATGCCTCGCTTAACATACGTCACGCACTCTGTTGCTCTTATTGGTTGTAGGTCTATCCAATTGAGTGCAGAGGCATTTTTTTTCCTGGTTCGTTCGAAACAAGCCCCATAATCACAGCTCTATGGAGCAGCATCAGACTCATATTCTGACTAGAATTGAGTCGGACTACGTCAGGCTAACATTTGGTGACTTTTCAGATAATTTCCTTTTTTTTGAAAGCAACTAGAGACAAATTTAATGACTTTTCATGTAGTCAGAGCGAAGGGAGAACTTCCCACAGCAAATGTATTATGCATTTCCAAAGCTGCCCATAGTCCTCCCTAGACTACAAACTGTTGCACTAAAATAATGAGCTGATTACCAAACAGCTTGAATCACTCTTAATTAGTTAGCCTCTTAATGCTTGTGCCTCTGTTAAATTTCTGTTTGGTAAAATTAGATGTATGCAGTGTGTTATTTCATAAACTAAGGCAAACATATGTTGGATCTTAACAACATTTTTACAAACGTTAATTACTGTAGTTGGCCCACCAACGTGGTTAAAGAAATTAAGAGAAAACCTAGATTGTATGATTGAACTATAGTGACAATTTAGAACTGTCAAAAGTTGATTGGTTATGAAAATATTAAACAGGATTTTACGTTCCATCCAGCTTTAACTGGTTTAGAAACTATTGCTAAAGTCAGAACTGCTTGCAAGAAAAGCATCTTATATCCACATCAGCCCCGTGATGCACCAGCAACTAAAAAAGTTTGTTACCTGTGACAATTCTGAGCAGAAAAAACATGGCAGACGAGCGAAAGCTTCTTCTGCCAGTTACTTTAACACTTGGACAACAGGAAAGACATTGGCCGCATTTCAATGTGTACTTGTCTGTTCTCATTTGCTCCTGAAACGTCATCCTCCTCAGCACAGTACTGTTCCAATTGACAAGAACACAAGACAGAGAACGGACCAAGTCTCCGGATGTTGTTCTCGCCCCCTAACTCTTTACGATTATCGATCGAAGCAGATTTGTGTATTCTCCAGACTTACAGCTACATCGGTATGCACTACGGCAGCAGCAACTTCCAGGGGGGCACAGAGCTCAGAAAATTCAATCAAAAGTTCACTTATCTGCTGCTGTTCTACGAAAATCAGTTTTAAGATCATTTTAGGCGAGAACAATATACCTATTAAATCTCGCTATATGGCGCATTTACTGATTTCATGCGTAATTAAAAAAATTCTAACAAGTTCTGATGTTGAGATGCCAGTGGCAACCAGCGGAGCTCCTAGGCTGCAGGGCTGGTTATAGCCTACTCCCAGTGTGTCGCAGTAAGCTTGTCGCAGATGTTTTTGATTTATGCCCAATATTGAAGCTTGGTCTGCGCTATGTTAGTCCACACCACAACGCAAGAGGGTCAATCACGAACTAGCTGAGGGTCTAGATACGGCAGAGGCGGTGAGGAAGTGGGGGCAGGTTTGTGCAACAACATAGGGGCGAAAAAAAGCGGCGATCCACGTGGAAAAAGGGTCCCAGCTTTCTCTCGAACCTCGCTCTTCTAGCTGGTCCTACTTCAGGAGTCGTTTTCCACAATGGCGGTCATACAAACAAAGCAAGCTGGTAAGGTACCAAACTGGAAATACGCATAGTGTAGATCGGATGTAGATTTGACCAATCAGATGCCCTCTGTTTGTGGCACTGTCTGCCGTCATCTGTATTTGCGTTCACTGCGACACACAAGCAGACGATCGTTTTTTTGAGTATAAATCAGCCTTAACTGCAGCCTGGGCTGACATTAGCCCGTCTACAGCAGCCCACTCTCGACATAGCCACTGGCTCTGATGCCATTTTATGTTTTTTTGTTTATTTTTTTTGGAAAACTTTAATTTGATTTGTGTTTATCTGACTGTGTGTTAATCTGAGACTATTGGAGGTGAAATGCAGGTCCGCACGAGCCAAGCATGTGGTGATGTCAGGAGTACGCATCTGCTCTAATTGACACACATTTGTTTTGCGTGCTCTCATTCTTCTGGAGTCCATACTTCCTGTGTTCTTGTCAAGAACGTAGTTGGCGAGAACACGAGTCTATTCTCACACTCTTGTGAATTGAGAAACAGCGATTGAAAATGCGTCGTTTTCTACTTCTACATGTAGTGTGGTGTTTAAAGCTTGCGATCTGTGCCCCATACTGCCCCCTACAGTCTACCAGAATATTCGGTGCAATAAGGAAAAGCATGCGCTGCAAAACTGGACAATGCTGCACTTTTTTTTAAATACATTTATAAAGTTAAGATAGTTTACTGACAGGGCTAAGGCTATTGCCAAATTTGCTAAGCATGAATGGCACATCTTTGACTTTGGTTATCTGGTCAAAGTGGAGTCTTGTATTTAGATTTAACCAGTTTAGCAACAATGCAACAAGACCTAAATTGAAACACAATAACAGGTATAAACTATTATCCCATTTAGCCAGACAATTCAAGTTAATGTGTTCTTAAAAAATGCGAAATAACGTTCTGCATTGGACAATACTCCTAGTGTTTGGTCATATCAGGTAATTGAACCAACATATATTCTGTTCTTATTATCTGAACAGGATTTATTCAAATAAAGTAAACAATTACTTGCAATTACTAGCATTGCATTTATAAAACTAATATCCTAGATTGCGATTTAAGTCATTTTAATGGGTAATAATTAGCAGGAAATTTCATCAGGAAATTGAACTTTAGCATTAAACTGTTGCTTAACTAGTTAGCTAGCCGTGGCATTCGCTGTTCGAAATGTAACTGAACCAGCATCTTCAGTTAAGCTCTCATCTGGATATTTAGGACGTATAAGTTACCAGTGGGATAAGATCAAAGTAAACAAAATGAATGAACAATATTATAGTGTATGTTGCTGACACTGGAAAGCTAATCTCCTAGGTCTCTGTTTCATTTCATTGTTCTGCTGGACAGGTTAATGAAACAGCTTCTGAAAATGACAAAATTACATTTGGTAACTTAACAGAAAAAGAAGAAATAACTTGAATCTTTCAATATAAATATGTCAATTAGATGGTTGTATTTCTCTCTTAAACTAAAGTGTGACATTTTCCCTTTGATTTTTTTACCACCTTAGCAGCTTTTCTTTCCATTTTGCTGCTTTTCCCACACAATTACGTTCCCTTGCTCTCAGTGCTCCTTTGTTGTTGCCCCCCCCCCTCCCATATCAGGTTTTGCAGTGATTCAGCACAACGCAGGCTGAGCGTGGGTTTGCAGATCCACCGTCTGTCTGCCCATCAGCCAGCTTTCCATCAGCTCCTGCAGTGCAGGGCTGTTGCTAAACACTGACCCGAACCCATACACACAGAGTAGTACATCTTAAAACTAAGGGCACTTCATGACATTTAGAAATGGTGCAAAAGAGCACTTGCACATACCGCAATGAATGTTTTACATTAAAAGTGGACTCAATCAGTGCTTCAGAGCTTAAAACATGGAATATTTAGTTACATCTTTGAGGGTTGATGGGTTCATTCTCAAGTTCCAAATGTTGAATAACAAATCTAAGTCCAAAAAAATGAACACTCAACAGAAAAAGAAGGAAGAATGACAGATCAGTCAGCACAGGTTGGATTAAAGCAGCGTGAAGATTAGCAAGTGAAGACTTGATTGGACACCCACTGGCTGATGATCTGCCTCAGCAGTTTCCAGAAACAGGAATCATGAAAGCAAAGGGATGAATGACATCATCACAATGTTCACTGTCATTGTGGGAGGAGCCTCAGTATGTCACAGGGGTCAAATATTGAAGGAGGCCACGGCTTTCTTTCATCACTCTGCTGGCTTAGTAGCTTAGCGATAACGTCAGAGGTTACCATAATGAAACGGAGGCTGGTGCATGACACAGCAGTGGAAGTGGGCCAACCGGGGCTTAGGTTACAATTCGTGGCTAATGCTGATGTGCGAGGCTGTAAACCAAACACTGTCAGATTTTAAACAGAAGGCCACATCCACTCCGTCTGTGGTCAGCACAAGTCGCTGCGGCTGCTTGAATAGAGGGTGTGGACAATAATGAAAAGAGGGCCGAATGCTGAGGTCTGTGTTCAACACTCCGAAATTTAGCAAGATGGATGAAAGACTCAACCTATGCAGAGGTTCTTATATGGGGGCGTGAGACCCAAAAATGGCTTGCGGCAGCCTCTGGTGGTTTGCCACATAACAGGGGTAATAGCATGTTTGCACAAGCCTGGGTGCCAGGGTGAGACTAAATGTCTAATTTAGGTCACTTGCTATAAAAGTTTTAAAGCCCAGGTCTGCGTAGACCCCAGACTGGCAGCCCAAGTTGCCATAAATGTGGCCTCTGTCGTCTCTTATGTCAACACATTCGATCTTAAACTGGCCTGTCGCCACTAATTGTGCTAAATAAGCGTTTAGCTCGTGCAGTGAAATCATCACCTTGTGTTATGATGTTTCGAGAAGGATACACTCCTGACTCCTGCATGTGTTTAACTTTGCTTTTTAATTTGAGTCTTTCTTGAGAGGTGCAACTCCAGATGGCAGCACACTTAATTTTCACCCCAAAGTGGCCCAAAAAAAAAAAAACGCTTTGAAGCCATGGCCTGCAAATGACTGACATTATAACTCTGGGTAACTATGCGATTGATAATGGGTCTTCTAATCTGATAGTGTCTTTAATTTGTGAAGTCCCAAGACAAATTACCAACCATTTTGCCGTAAAAAAAGATGTTTCCTTCACTGATAACGGTAATTATGTGTAAATTAAGCTTCAGCAAGACAGAACCGAAGCTTTTGGTGTAGCTAATTTTTATATTTTCAGGAAATTACAGTAGCGTAACATTTTAAGCCACGTTTGTTTTAGTGTTTGGTTGCAAAATGTTTTAAAAGTGATGATGGATCACATTGTGAACCTAGCTTCCAAGCTGATAAATGACTCCTATTCTCTTTGTGTGTCTTTCTTTGCAAACGCAATAACATGATGATGTGTCACAGAGCCAGTAGAAACCAAAGTGCCCCTATATGGAGATCACATCAACAGACAGAAGTCGTACGCAGTGAACAGAGCCAAGGAACACAAGAGGTATAAATCGAAGCAGGGGTCTACCAACAACAGAGAACCATCCCAACCTAGCCAGGATAAAGTGGAGCTGGAATTTGTAAGTGTTGTGTTAGAATGCAAAATTTCTCCGATTGTTGCAAATTTGCTTTGCATGTTTTGGCTTATTCTGCAAATTTGTCCTTCGAGTTGAAGCAAATATTAGCAGCTAAGAATGGAAAGAAACAATGTTACCAAACTGGTTCTGAGGCCACCTTAAATGAAATGAGAGAAAGTTTAGTTGTATAAGAATTTCTAATGATATTTGATTTTAACATCCAATCTTTGTGTGCAGGGGCCTTGCAAAAGAAAACTTGATACTCTCATTCATGGTATGAAGGACTCTCGGGTCTTGACTCTTTCTTTGTATGTACCCAACTGTGACAAAAAGGGATTCTTTAAGCGCAAGCAGGTTCGTAGCATCCTTCAGTGTTCTATAATACATCCGAGTACCCAAAAAGTGAGTTTTCTGGTCACCCATCCTGATCTGACCTCCTTCTGCCTTGCAGTGTAAGCCCTCTCGTGGACGGAAACGGGGTATTTGCTGGTGCGTGGACCGCCTTGGCCATAAAATCCCAGGTATCACCTCTCCCCGTGGTGAACTGCAGTGCAAAGACCTGGACAGCATCAACAATAGCAACGAGTGAAAGTGAAGCGCCTGCAGAGCCCATTTTCTTCTTCTTAAATCCTGCCAAACAAGCTAGCATACTTAATGACTGAAACTCAAGAGAACATGGCACAAACACTTTTTCTTGTTAATTGTGATGGACTGCTGTTAAGGAAAAGCAAACTTTATACCCTATATCAAAGAGAAATATATATATATATATACATAGTTTATCTTTTTTTTTATAGTCTGTTGATTTTATTTTATTTTTTCAGTTATGAAAACAAGACAACTCGTAATTCAACTGTGGCTAACTATCATTATTTTGCAGTTATTTTCTTATGCTCTTCAAAGGTTATTATGGGCCCCTGAACTAGAAGACATTTTATTCAGTCATGTCAGGTTTAGAGACCTTTACATGTGCCGTTAAGAGAGGTGGGGGAGGGGGCATAAATTATATTTTCCAACTAATACAAAACAAAACAAAAGAAGCACATGCAAACAGAGATTATACAGATGGTACATCAGAAAAGATTTAAACCTCTTTTTGAGAAAAATGTTACACATAATCTCAATATTCTTGATAAATTAAAACATTTTTATGATTTTATTCTTTTTTTTGTTTTACCTAATTCAAGACATAAACTAAAGAACAAATATACTCAGTGAAAAGCTCTATACTTTTTAGTTTGATAGATTTCTAGAGTTTAGGTCAAATTTGCTTCATTTTGTATCGTAATAACATATACATGAACTCTGTAGAGCAGACACCATTAGCTTACAACAATTTCATCCTGTCAGACATTTCCGTTAAGCTAGTTACTGTGATTGTTGAAGATTTTGCCATTTTAATATGATAAGTTTTAAGGACCTAAGTGTAATATTTGAATAGTTGTACCTCTGTCTTATTTTTCCTTTCAAACTTTCAAAGCAGAATCTCAACTAGCAACCACTTTACTTAGCCTGGCATAAAAAAAGCTAATAAAAACCAACTCTGCCTTACTCATTAACAAGCGGCCCTTTGTGAATTAAATACTGTTTAATTAATACAACAAAATATTTATTTGACCTCCTGTAAATATTTTAATATTCTGTATTACCCAAGGGACCAAGCTATGTTTAGCTAATCTTGACATTAAGCGAGCTTAATGTCATCAAGAGCACTAGCATCGGTTTTTCACTTAATGTTCATCATTTAATCTTAGAGGATTAAAACAAAGATTTATGTCGACCTTATTTCATAATAGTTTGAATTTGTGGGGGGGTGATACATACGTTTGATTTGATTTATATAAATAGCGCAGCACTTAGCGTTAGCTGCTAATGGAGCTAAATGGAAGTTTGGGAGTCTTTGCTTAAAGATTTTAAAAAGAAAATAAAAAAGTTTTTTGTTGCCAGTTTAAACACTGCAAAAACAAAAATCTATGCAAGGCATCAATGTTTTATTTTCCATTTTATTAAGAATGTAAGTGAGAAAACATACTATTTTATTTCAAGTGCATGATATCTTCAATTTAGAAATGCTCAATTCATCAGCAGATCATCTCTTATGTGCTCAAATGAAGTTAAAATGCACCTATTTTAATAAATCTCTATTTCTAGATCAGTGTTTGCAGTGAAGGCTTTGGTATGTTAAAATTTATCAAAAATTTAATACGTTCAAATTCCAATATAGTTTTCACAGATACCAGGAGGGATTCCAATACTAAGGCTACAGGCAGTCATCATCTGGATGTCTTTAATTAGTCTTTCTATAGACCTGATTTATAATTAACATATTTTCAAAGCAAGATTTTAGTAGAAGCAGCCTGCTCTTTATTAATGTATCTATAAACAAATGACTAAAACATATCATATAATCTAATTTTTTGGGGAAAAACACACTAAGCACAAAAAACAGTAGCTTTGTTTAGTCCATTTGATGAATACATTGAATACACTGTTTTTATGTGCAATGTTCTGGGTATATTATTAATGTCCGATGTAAATATCAATCTTTTTGTTTGACCTATAACTAAATAAAGGAAGGATTAGCAGTAAACCTGCAAAGAAATTAACATCATTATATTAGATGTTATTAAAAAAAGGGAATTGTATGGGTTAATGCACTTAATAAGAGAAACTAATGAATGCAAATAGACAGAATGGAGATTATTTGACAATATGTCTCAACAATATCATGAGGAGAAAGAGTGGATTTAATTTTATTATGTCGTAGGACTGCGTTAATGCTAAGTTAGTTAAAGGACGGATTATTACCCGAATGGTCACTACTTTCATCCCCAGGCTTGTTATCATGGACGGTTCTAGATTGGGCCAACAGGGGCCATTGCCCAGTATTAAAAGCATAATACTAAAATAAATTTATGAAAACTAAATGATGATATGCACTGGTACAGAAACTGTCATGGGGACCATTTTTATTTTGACAATGTTCTAAAATTGGGTGTGTTGCGCTTGGCTTTTTTTAAAAGTGAAATATAATTACAGTTTCCATCTGCTATATCGGGGATTTCAGAGCTAAAAAGGGCTCAATGGTTCACTCAATATTCCAAAAAATTAATACCCTTTTTTATTCTTTCATTTTGTTTTGAGCTACCAAGAAAAAAGAAAAATAGCGCCAACAGTAAATTTTGTCTGCTAGTCATCATGTTATTTTTCTCGACAGTGTTGGCTTAAAACAACATGTAGACTACTTCCTAACCTTCCCTTTCAGACAAGTTAGGCCTCGATTTTAGGCTTTGGATAATTTTTTGCCACCAACCATGTGTAGATCTTTTGGAGATAAGCGAAACGGACAAAACCTCAGTCATAAAAAGCTCTTTTGTACTGTTAAACATAGAATTCCTTCCATTTCAAGTTCTCAGAACTGTGTTTGCTGTTTCTAAATGTATGTATTGAATGTTTGCATGCCCATCAGTGTGTTTGTGTGTCTTTCTCATCTTAAAAAAAAAAATTGACAAAAAAAAGGTTGCTCACACATTGTACATTTCCCATCGGAACTCGCACACAAATTGTATGCAAAGGCCCCGTCTTTCCATGTGGGGGTCTTTTAATGCCACAGCACATGCAAATCGGCTCGCCGACACCAACTTGCTCGCAGGGTTCACCAGGTCCTTTATCCCATAGAGGGAAAGGTCACAGAGTTTTTACGTAAATGAAGTGCCTTCAGCCCCAGACTGCTTTGAATCTAGATTTGCATGCAGGCCATTTGTGTTGTTGAATGAGACAGGCCTGAGCAAAAGATAAAAAGGAAATCAGTTTAAGGTGTGGATGTGATTTGCTCTCAATTATGATCTTCTGGTCAAGTGCTGCTAAATATGTAATGACAGAAATAATGTGTTTTGTGTGTCCAGTTGTCATAACCCGACTTGTTTTTACTGTTAAAACCTTAATGTTTAATATAGTTTTAACTTTGTAGACAATGCCTCCACTGACAATGGCACCAGCCTATTCTTCCTGATAAAATTTCTTCACCTTTGTAGACATTTCAAGCTCTTGTGAACCCGGAACAGTAACTTCAAGAACACCACAGAAACTAAAGTTTAATGTGAATTTTCTAATGGAATATTAATCACACCTGCAATTGATATACTGTTTTTTACAGGTTTAATTACTATTTAAATAAACATGTACACTCCCAAAAAAAAGACTGTTAGCTCATTTTTGATGCTAAAATGTAACGTCAGATGTTTGGTATATATATATATATATATATATATATATATATATATATATATATATATATATATATATATATATATATATATATATATATATATATATATATATATATATATATATATCTGATCTGATTATACGTTATCTTCGTAATAGAAAATTTCGCTCTTATCTACAGGTTTACCAGTGGTTCCTACAATTTCTACAAGCAGAATGGGAGGCAGATAATTTAGTTAACAGGATCCGCTCTTGTGGAACCAACTAGCAATTTTAGCCTGTGTGGCACACATCCTTTCTACTCTCAAGACCCAGCTTAAAACTTTTTTTTTTGGATAAAGCTTATAGTTAGAGTGGTCCAGGTTATCCTGAACTATCTCTATAGTTTTGCTGCTATAGGCTTAGACTGCTGGAGGACATCAGGACCACTTTTCCTCACCCTATTTTATTCTATTTCTGTTCTCCCATTCGGCAGTATTTGTTAGTTCTACTTTTTGTTCTCTCTGCTTTTGACTACTCAGAAAGATGTTATAGATATCTGTAATTTAGTTTCTGACTCATCAGAATGCTGTTAAGATACCTTACATCAAAATGCAAGCTAGTCACACAACAATAGAATAATGTTATTTATATCTATAATGCTAATTGTAAATTGTTAAACCTACTGATTAAATTGTATCAGCTTGCCATACTATCTATGATCATAACTTTTCCTTGTTTTTTCTGTGATCAATTTTCAGATTTGGATTGTTCCTCTATCATGTAGCTAGCATCAATTTAAAATAATGATAGGAGGAATTTTTGACTGAATTTTGACTTTAAAAATTTGGTTTAGCTATTAGTTGTTTAAAGTTAGGGATAGTGCATAGTGGCAGCAGACTGGTGAGAAGAATCTGCAATGTATGAAGGTCACAAATTTTTTTTGTAACCACAGACATTTTATAACCTGAATAAGAAGGACATGTGATGATATATAAAGAAAAGTTTTATATTAAAAGGTATGAAAACCAGGTGAGCGCCATGAGGTGAGCGCTATGACACTGCAGGTCTCCAGGCTGCTGCTATACCTGTCTCCGCTTCTCCATCTTCAAATGTGATGCCCTTGCAGTTCACATTTGTTTGGCTGCAAAATATTCCCATGCACTATTTGAAAGAGAAATTATAAAACACACAGGAATCCAACTGGTTTCTACTTTATTTTGCATTTGCACGTCACTTTTCATCTCCTTAATACTTAATGTGCAATAAAAATGAGGCATATCCAAAAACCTAGTCTGCGATCTAGAGCATGGAAAGACACCTACAAAGGTTCAACACACTAAAAGGCTCTTTGTTTTTTTTTAACAGTACAAAACACTGATAACAAAGCACGTTGAGCATTGTCACAGTTAATAAAGCATGATCACCATCTCTAAAACAGAACAGCATGAAAGAAAAAATTGAGAAATTAACTTTAGTCTGCAAAAAAAGTTGGTTTCTATCATTCAATGTTTTATTTTTATTTTTACTATGTTAAGATTTAAACTTTAACCGCCAATAAACAGACTACAGACACACATGTATAGCTTATAGCTTACTCAGATTGCTCTTTGATCCCAAGCACTTTACAGTTTCAGTTTTTTTTTTCTTTTAGGTTTTCAGTTTTTGAGCCGCATTAGATTTGGGGTGTATCGTGCAGCTCCAGCTCGTCCAGGTACTGGCTGCAGTTGGGGTCCCCCCTCACAGTTGGAGCTGATAGGATGCGTCGGCCAGTCAGGGGGTTGACGCACCAGCACTCGCCCCTCTGACCGTGGAGTGACATTTTGCACTAAAAAAGAAAAGTTCATTTAATTTGTTTTAGAAGCTCCAGAAAGACGAAATTTAAGCTTCAGTAAATAAAGTCTAAGAAGGAGTCATCACCTGTAAATCTGACCTTATTTTTGTTAAAACCCCAAAGTGTTGGCATTGGAATTAAGTTCAAACCTGCATGAAAAATGCAAAGTGTAACAGTAGTGTTTTTTTATTTTTTTTTTATTTAATTTAATCTAGAAAAGCAAACAAGTGTATAATTTTTTTGTCTTTCATTTACTTGAAACCTGGAATGGTGCTAACATTAGCCCACTTTGCTGTCACCACTACAATCTCTACTTTACCAAAAGGGGTGATTCCACCAATCAGGGACTCATCTGCACAGTCAGTAAGTGGTAGCCTGATAAACCAGACTAAATGTGAGATTAAATGCGTAATTTAATCTGGCCCAGATGAATGAGACATCGGAAGATTGTTGATGAGAACAACCTGTTGTTTTTCAAACAATGTCTGTGCCTATTGGCCAACGCTCTGAACAATGAGCTCAACTGACTGTGACGTAGTAAGCGCGACAGAAAGCTAGTGGGGGAGTGTAAACAAACAGCCTGTCTGTAAAACGGCCAATATGTCCTTCTTATAAATGAATGAGTGTAGATCCTTTTCCTGCTCACGTTTCAACAAAAACCTCAAGTCTAATCCTTCCAGAACTGATTCCAAAGCTGAGTCAAATGAGCTCGGCCGTTTCTCAGTTAACTAGAACGCGAGTACGGAGTTGCGTCCTCGCCAAGTATGTTCTTGAGAAGAACACAGGAAAGTATGGACTTGGTGAGAATGCCTTCCTCAAATGATCTTAAAACATACTTTTATTGAACAACAGCAACAGAAAAAAGAATGTTTAACTTTGAAATGGAGCACTCCATTGAAAGCTGCTGCATGCCTCAGTTCATGCTACTTGTTGCCATCTTCCTTGTTGCGCTTTCTCCAGCGTCACGCAGCTTTGTCGTCCATCCAAAAATACAAAACACATCTCTGCGTTGTGATTGGCCCGCCAGTTCTAGGGCCAGGGGCATTCACGAAGCTAGACCAAACTCACAGGCAAAAATGCGGCTAGTTTACTAGGCTAAGTACTTTATAAAATTCCGTAAAAGTTTAAAAACAATCCACTATACTTGGTTTCCAAGGTTTGAAGACGTTTCGCTTCCCCTCCAGGAAGCTTTCTCAATTCAAATCTGGATCCGCAGTGAGTTTGAGGCTTTATATAGACAAGGCCTTGTATTGCTTGGAAACATGCAAATTGAAGCCGACGAGCCGGTCGTTTGGTTCCATTGTTAGCCTGTAATATCTGCATAGCTTACTCAGATATTACAGATATTACAGGCTAACAATGGAACCAAACGGCTTCAATTTGCATGCTTATGCTTAAGCTTAACTTAACCAATGTTTAACTATTTTAGGGAGCAGCATTAGCCTGAAGATGCTTTGCTAACATTACTAGCTGTAGCCAGGGAGAAAACAGTACTATTAAGGTGGCAAGATTTCCTGAAAACTAGCCGATCACAGGCACTCTCTCAGGTTGGTACCCCTTTAAATTGACAAAAGTTGACATGAGTGCATAGAAACAGGTCCACACATGGGTAGGAAAGAGCTACAGGTGCATAAATAGCAAAAGAAAAGTATGAACTCGAGCTAGTGACATATTAGGGGGCTCAGAGTATTGAATATCTGTGCATTAAACATAAAAAATGTGTGTGGGGAGTAGTTTACATGCGTGTGTTTTAAATAAAACTGATCATATGAGCATTTATTGCCCGTGTACACTATTAACAGAATTCTGAATTGATGCTAAAGTTGCTAAAGCTACATTAAAATGACATAGGGGTCCAAATGAGCTCTATTTATTTTTCATTTCTCCCTCAAATGAAAAAAAAAAACACAAAAAATAATTGTGTATAATACCAGACTATGACTCCTGCAATAAACACACAAATCAATATACCAGTATCAAACTATCATTGAATGATAAAAACAAATGGATTATATTTAAACATACTTAAAGAAAACATTGTAAATATGTGAATACCTTCACATAATTGATTTGTATTACCAATTATATGAATATATTACACTTTGTGAAATTAATCTAACATTTCTTTGTTTTTATTTTCACATAAATCAGTAAAATATAAAAGTTTTTGTGCAAGAAACACATTCACTGAGAAATTAGCACCTGAGTTTCCCCCTTAATACAATGAAATTTAAAAAAATATCAAATATCTGCTGAAATAATTAAGGGTAAGCAATGTATTTAGTTACAATGACTTGTATATTTAATCAGTTTTTTAATAATTTATTATTATTTACACTCGATCAAAGATCTGTTATATCATATTGTTACATTTGCAGGCTCTAAAGTGTAACCTGTTTTGGGTTATACTGCCCCCTCTTGTCACAGTTGGGAATGTGCAGTGCATAGAGGTCCTCCAAAGGACCTCGGTTATCTCTGAAGGGCATCTTGGATATCCTCTCCAGGACCTGGTCCAGCTCCTGCTGACACTGAGTCTTGAGAATAAACAAGAACAGAACAAAACAACAGTTTCAGGTTCAAATACAGGTATGCGGGTGTGTTGCTGCCACCAGGTTTCTGCCTTTAGTTTACAAGAGGTAGTGGTTTGCCTGCAGGCTTAAATGTTCTGTGGAAAATGTTCAGTTGGCTTTAACCTCTGTAGGGTGTTCTGGATTACTTTTAACTAAACAAATACATAATTGTTTTAACAACATACAAAAACTAGTTAAAAGAAATACATTCACATTTGAAATAAAGCTTATTCCAGTACGCATCAACACCAGGCGGTCTTTGCCAAGCATTCTACCCACTCTAGACCTTAAAATACCATATAAAACACAAAGTATTGCTAAATATCTTCCCGTTATGTGCAAATTAATCTCAAAACTTGCCAAACATTGTATAAAAACAGGCCAAAGACCTCTGGTTTACCTCTCATTTGCCTGCCAACACTCTTTCAGAGACATTTAGTACGGGACAGGGGCTTTTGTGATGGATGTGAAAAACAACTTCTTCCGATGGAGAATTTAGAGAGCCGGTTAAAAAGCAGGTCAGGTGTGTTTCTGGTTCATTTATAGCTGCAGTTTGATTCAAAGGAAGCAATTTGTGTGAAATGTTGACAGAAGAATTTAAGAAAACTAACACAGTTTAACCAATATGCACTAGTATTTGTTCAGTAGAAGGATAAAAAGAAAAGTTCTTTAGTTCTTTTGGGGTTTTTTTTACCGACAGTTGAGTGTTTTTAGCCATGTTCATATAAAAAGTTGTCTTTCAGCCACTAGATGGCAATGCCCACTCCTTTAACTTCAAACCTAAACCTTCAACTTTCAACTCTAGATACATTCAGGGTATTTGTTTTATATCTGTACAGTTTTGGTCAGTTTTCTATGCTTAACCACCATTTTATCAGGGAACATATTTGAGGTATCCCTTCACAAACACATCAGTTAGAGCCAAGACCACCTTGGCAACCACAATGGTCAAGTCAAGGCAGTCACTGAGACCAAACACAGTTTGCAAATGTGAGATTTATTTTTAAGTTTGAACACAGATCTTATGTTATTGTTATCCAACTAGGCCTGGAACAAAATTAAAATGTGTGTTTGATCCAAATACTGCAATCTGCTCACATCTAAGCAGAGGTTAGTTAGCAACGACTGGGATAAGTGCTGTCTAAATGGTGGCAGTAAGGCAGGAGGTAGGAAAAGGAAACTGGATGCTTCCTATCATAGCTCCTTGAGCATAGCAAACCCCAAACGCTCTTATCTGGCCCTCAGGAAATATGCAGATTGCAGAAACCCTTGAACATACGTAAAGGTTGAGTTCACCTTAGGGAGTTAAACTAAAGTACATTATCTCTACAGGTGTACTCAGTGTGACAAATGCTAACGTAAAGGCCTTCATATGTTTTGCTTTGTGTAATGGAGAGCTTCGGCTAAATGTTTTTAAAGTGTTCAAACTTTTGTGATTAAATGGGAACTAATGGGAAGTTGACTTGCAAGGTTTTTATCAAAAGGTATGTTGTGTTTTTTTAGGTCAGGCAGCAAAGCACATGAGGTAAACCAACCTGTATCTTTATCTTTATATTTGAATTTTTGTCTTTTTAATGTTTTTTAACCTAAGAGACTAAAAGCAAAAAAAAATAATAAAAGTGGAGATTGGAGGCATAATTTTGCTTATTGAAGATACAAAGGTAAACTGCCAGTATGTCAAGAAGCTTGTCCCAGAGTCCTCTTTTTCAGCAGACACTCACCTGTTTCGGACGAGTAGGTCTCACCTCTTCTACCTTGTTGGTCTTCATTTTGGTCTTCATCTCCTGGCTGTGCTGGCGTACGGCGCTCTCCTTGGGTCCGAGCCAGGTGGCGTCTTTGCTGGGCTTTCGGACTGTGGTGATTTCGCTCACGTCCAGATCGGGCTCCAGCTCCAAGGCTTCACCTTTTATCAAATACAGTTAAACATGAGCAAATATTAAATCCATGGTTTATGTTTTGCTTTTGTAAGTGTTTCTGAATTACAATTTTGAATATTTGCTGTATAAATAAACATATAACTCTATCTGATTTTAAGAACAGACAAAAAAATGCTATAGAAGAGCTGTACAAGCTCGTTTTTTAACATGAACACGTGGAAACAATGTGGGATGAACAAATGCGACAAATTCAAGCTCCTTGTTATATCCTTGTTATAAGGATAGTGAAAAATAGAGCAACATCCTTAAGTGAAGGAGCACCACGGCAGTTGTTAAAAAAATATACAATAACAGAAATATAGAATGAAATGCAATTCATGTAAAGAGCTAAAGTGTTTTTGGGGGACCTGAGCCTTATAAATGTGGCTAACTGCAGATGGGAAGAAGCTGTTTTTGTGGTAAGAGGTTTTGTTCCCGATGGACAGGAGCCTCCTGCCAGAAGGTAGAGTTTGAAAAGGTTTATAACCAGGGTGCGAGGAGTCAACTGCAATATTTCCTTCTACCCTCTGAGTCCTGGAAGCATACAGTTCCGGAAGAGGAGGAAGATCGCAGCCCATCACACTCTCTATGGAGAGAATTACAGTACATGCTGCAATATGTCCTTATCCCTGGTGGGGGCAGTAGAATACCAGATGGCTATGGAGGAGGGGAGGATGTGTTCTTCACTTGCCACAGAAAGTACAAACTCTGCTGTGATTGAGGCCCTGAGCAATGATGATGCCTATAAAATGTAGAGAGTCCACATTGGCAACTAGAGAGTCAAACAGGAGGATGGGGAGAGATGGACTGTGCCTTTTAAAAGATCCATGACCATATCCACTGCTTTCAGAGCGTGGAGCTCCAGACTATTTGGTTGCACCATGTCATCACATAGTCAATAAGCGACCTGTAGGGATATCCATCCTTTCTAGAGATGGTCCCAAAGAGGACAGAGGTATGACTGATCAGTTTCACTAAGGCTATAAGTTAAACAGATGAAAAGAAAGAAAAATGTGAAAGCTAACGTTCATTGTTTTGTCATCAAGGGTTAAAAGTTAAAAATTGACCATTTTCAACCCTAACATGATGTGAATCTTGAAACACGGCCGTAGGACAAAACTCCTCTAAAACTATGAAGAAAATTTGCCCGCACACAAAGGATGCTATTAGGCAACAAAATGACAAACACACAAAAATCGCTTTTTCATGCACGTTGTCATGGAAACCAGAAAAATGTTAGATGACACCAACAGGAATTTGAACTTTCTCCCCATCTCTCTCTCACGCCCACACGCGGGGTGTAGATAAGTGTACCATTTCTCTTTCACACAGCCATGAAACAGCTTTTGGTTGACTTTCATATTGTTCTGACCAGAACAAGCTTTCAACAACATGTTGTTAATGCTAGGGTTCAACTTTATCAGGCCAACAGGACGAAGGGACACGGGGTGGGGCTGGGTGAGTGGAGTAAATACCGTTTTAGCATGTTTTCGGCTAACAGGCCTACTGTCAACCGAAGATTGATTAACTAATTAAATTCAGTTTATTTCTATAGCACCAATTCACAACACAAGTCATCTCAAGGCACTTTACAGTTCAACCAGATCATACAGTCAAATTGATACAAAGTTTTCTATCTAAGGAAAACCAGTTGATTGCATTGACTCATTGACTCAAATACAATCCCTCACACTAAGCATGCTTGTAGCGACAGAGGAGAGGAAAAACTCCCTTTTAACAGTAAGAAACCTCCAGCAGAACCAGGCTCAGTGTGAGCGGCCATCTGCCGAGGCCGACTGGGGTTCAAGGAGACAGAAGCAGAGACACAAAAAGCAGCTGTAAAAGGAACACACAGCCAGGCAGACTAGCTCCGAGCCAGCTCCCACGTCAGAGGATGAAGAGAGCACATCCACTCAGTCACGGCCAGAGAAACAGGACCACACTGGAAAACAGGCCGATCTCCAGAATCTATAAACAAGGGTGTTGATGGAAGCAGCACAGCTGATATTTCTCTCCAGGATGATGTCACAGCCAAACAGGAACAGATGAGGGAAAGCTACTATGAGAAAAAGCAGAGAGAGCAGAACGTTAGAGATTGAACTAACAGATTCTGCAGATTGGAAGAATTGAGACAGAATGAAGCAGAGTGATGAAATGGGGGTCGCTATGTCCTCCAGAAGTCTAAGCCTATAGCAGCATAACTATAGAGATAGCTCAGGAACTACAAAGATAACTACAAAATAAACTTTAAAACTGCAACCCAAAACTGCCTTTTAAGGATGGGGAATAAAAAAAATCTGAGATCCAGGTCTTTAAATGAAACAATGGGAGCTGGAGGCTCTTTATGGAGTAAATCTTTTAAAAATACATAAAACAATAAATTAGGAAAAACATTCACGAAGTTATGTTTTGTTATCATTTTGATATTTCGTTGTTTGGGGAGAGTCAGGCAAAGAAGGCAGCGCTTGGTGAATTTACTTAACAGTGTTAGCTTTAGGGAAACCGCATGAGTTTTAAAGCTCTGATATGTTAGGATTGTAGATGACCATATTGCAAACATAACTCAGTTATTTTTACTAAATTCCTTTAGAATTCCTCTAGAAACATCTAGATAAGCCTTAATTTACTGAATTATTATCTAGATGTTTCCTTTTCCTTTTTAGTGCTAAGGGTTCATCAAGTCCAACTCACTTTGTTGTTTCTGACAACACAGCAGACTTTGGCATTCACAGAAAAGGAGAGGAAGAGGTGTGTCTCTTCAACCTAGCGGATTTTAGATAAAGAAAAAAAAAACTGGATGACACAAATTTAACACATAGCCTGTTTTAGCTCACTCTAGCTGCAAGCTGCAAATGAATGTGCTAGAACACCACTGTTGTTTTCTGCAGAATCTTTGCCATTTTTCGCTTATGCAGGGTTTCACCAGACAACCAAATGAAAGTCAGTAAGAAAACCGGCCCAGTTAAGAAGGTCAAACATGAAGTGGATAGTTCTAACATGTGGAGGTCAACATCTACCGTGCAGACTTGTGGAAAGTGAAAGAAAGCAAGTTTGTGTTTTAGCAGAGATGGTTGGCTGAGGAAGCAATCTCGGAGCCATCCAAGAGGTAAACTTGACATCCGGTTAGGGATTATGATTATAAAGAGTCTAAGAGGGAATGGGAGAAAGGAATTTACAAACTAAGCAATAACAAGGTGCTGGCGCCTTTCACCATCAGATTGATCTTGTGTTGTTGGACTTGAGTTCTCTCCATGACACTCCTCTTTGCTTTCTCTTGGATTCTTTGAAGACTTTTGCAAAGTCAAAGGTCAACTAAGCCAAGTGTGTCTTGACTTGCACATGTGCATACATCGACAATTTGGACAGATAAACACAAAGCACACTCAAGCTGGGGAGCCTTTTGTTTTGCTCTCTTATGCAATCCCCAGGGATACAAAGAGCAAAGCCTTTGGGCCGTCTTTTCCTGGGTAAGCCAAAGACATTCAGTCAAGTGTGCAGTTTGCAGACGTGCTCACATGAATTCACGGTGCCTAACAGTAACCTTACTGGTGAATGTGCAGAAACAGCACACAAACATGGAGGGTCAGGACCCCACTTTCAGGGGGTACCAGGCCTCTACAGAACAAGCTGCTTCACAGCAGTGGGCTGAGGATCAGCAGAGTCAACAGAGCAGCAGGCCTACTGTCCAGTCTACTGCTTGACTTAATCCGCACACAAAGCCCAAAGAGGCTTCCTTTCTGTATCTGATCCATGTTGGATTCCCAGTTGGCACGTAGGCCAGAGGTGACACATTTGATGGTCAAGATACTGGTGAACTTACCAGAAAACACCAGCCAAGACCAGGTGGTTGTAAGTGGAAAGTTTGAAACACTGATGAAGAATTTGCAAAAGAAGTTTCGCGCCATGTTTTATCTTTTTTTGTGACACCATATGTAAGCTATCACAGGGTCAGCCTCTTTGCTAAAATTACATAAGAAGGTCCACCCCCTTATTACTCTAAATAAAATTTCCAGTCAACCACAATTTCCTAAATACATTTCTTTTAAATGCTTTTTTTTTATCTTTGAGTACTTTTACATACAGTTTCTGAGTCTTTTCATCTGGCCAGGAAATATAAAACAAGATAAAAATGTTTTCAAGAAATTCTGATATAAGGAAAACCCTACAATAAAGGTAATGTCATTTCTGAACAATACAAGGAAGAACGTCCTACAGAATAACCTGGAAATGCTTAAGCATAAATACATAACCTAATCAGAACATAACTCTTTATAGTTTTTAGGAAATGGATAAATATAATAGCTCTGTTAGTTAGATGCCTAGGTACTGTTAGACTGTACTTTTAAGATCAGGTTTAAAACTTTCCTTTTTGATAAAGTTTATAGTTAGAGTAGCTCAGGTTATCCTTGGCTATCTTTTTAGTTACGCTTCTAGAGTCTTATTATGCTGGAGGACATAGAGACCACTTTTTATCATTCTGCTTCATTCTGTCTCTATTCTCCAATTCTGCAGTAACTGTGAGTTTATTTTGAACGTTATCCTCTCTCTGTTTTCTTATCATAATGGTAGAGGTAAATATCAGGTGAGCTGTTACCATCAAAACTTTCACTTACAAATGATAGAATTAGGGAGGTTTTTAGTGCTTAGTCAAGTCTCTCTTCAAGACCTTAAAAATGTTTTCATCTGCCTTTTTTTGGACTAAAAAGAAAGAGCACAAGTCAAATCAACTCACTAAATTTAATAAATTCCTCAATTGTTTGAGTTGGTCTTTTGAAGAGCTGTTTACACTGCCGGCTAGAGTCCCAATTCTCTCTCAGTCTTTCCAGATGGCATTTACCATTGCTAATGCTAGCTGAGATGATGGAGTACAACTTGCCTGATTTAGACACAAAGCTTGTTTCAAATACAGATTTATGGTTTGCACTGTTTTACTACCTCTATTCCCTATTTATTACAGCCAAGCTTAACATAAACATATATCTACACT